TCACAGCTCCAATCATAATGCGGAATATCATCCAGCGATTTCCCCAGACATTGGTCCAGCTTGTGGGCGTGTGACGTGGAAACTGGCTATAACTCAAAACTGGAGACAAGGAAACCATTTCAAGTAACTGAGACTACCAACCTACATGTACATAAATATCTAATAATGTACACACATTATGCAATACACAATGAATATACTGAACCTACACATGTACAAGTATGCAAATACCTTAGGTCGGGATATATTCGCGGCTGCTTATTTTCGCGGATAATAAAACTAATAAAAAGGTTCAATTAAATACCATGGAAACCAATCGATTGTTGCTATGACAATAAGACCACGTGTTTATACAATTACAGTGTTCAGCAGCTATTTATCTATTCTTTAGCAGCTTTAGTGGGAGCCATCCAGTTCTCCATCCGCTATCTACTTGTAAAGTCTTGTATGGACCACTACCTTTGAGCTCTTTGCTGGAAATCCTTGCCGCTCCACTTGCATGCTGGCGATAATTAACCACGCCCAAGTCAATAAGTGGGTGGAGAGTCCCAAGAATGGGCATGGGCCAAGATGCGGCGAGGCAGAGTGAAGAGAGTAGCTCTGGTTGAAACAGCTCCAAAGAGACCAAGGATTAGTAACAGCAAGAAGAACAACAGCCAAAGAACACTGCAACAGAGTCCTATGCTATTAATATTGCGGATTTTTCAATTAAAATTGCGTTTGGTAACCATGGTAATTGCTGAGTGCGGGAAAAAAATCGCGAAAATAAGCAGCCGCGAATATTAATATTATCCCGACCTACTACGGTAATATTGTTTAATTAATAATGCTTAATTAAACATTAATTTTATTAAATTTAATTAAAAAATACCTCCATACAAAGATACGTCCACCTCAGAATAGCAGGAGGAGGTGAGGAATGATCTGATGATCCTCTTGCCTCAGAAGAGGAAGATTCAAGTGAATCACAGTACTTCATCTTTTAAGGTGTGGCTAGGGCCGGCCGTGATACGGTTAAACCCTCAGCCCCGCCCTATTTTGTGGCGTTTGCTGTGCTGACTCGTACTCCTGAGTGTGCTCTGCTTTTTCTTCTCGTCTTACCTTTACCTCTCCTTTTACCTTGTACACAATACTTAAACTAGTTTCAAATGGCTTCAAAACCATCACATTTCCCATTAGGTGAGTCAGATTATTTATAATACACTGATATGTTATGTTTACATTATGTACATACATACACACACAGTACATGTACTCATTATTACTCATTATTATTCATTATCATTATTATTATTATTATTATTTTGGGGCCCTGCGCCAGCCGGTCTTTTGTTCTGTACAGTTTTATTGTGTGCTTCTAGCACGTGTTTTTAAGTCGAAGAAAGAGATTTTGTTTGTAAACTATTTCCTTGTCTTGTTAGCAAATTAGCAAGCGTGCAGTTTGTGTGTGTTGGACAATAATGATCCCTCATACACAACAAATTGGCGACGAGGGTAAACTAAGACAGAGATTTTGACTGGAATTATGGCAGCTCGTTTTCATGGGTTGTTGTCTACTTTCAATGCTACACAGGAGGACTGGGTTGAGTACGCTGAACATCTAGAGCACTACTTTGTTGCCAATAGTATCGACAATGGAGACGTACAACGCGCTATTCTATTGACTAATGTTGGACCCTCTACTTACTGGTTAGTGAAGACTTTATCTCT